ACGGTTACAGCTGTCCAGATGAAGAAATAGGGAAGGCAAAGGGAGGTGAGGATACATCAAGATCGTGAGCTCTGAGGCATGTAAACTATCCGAAAAGCATTGTCTGTGGAGGTATACCCATTACCACTCTATCCATCGTCCACCGCCATCACCGTCGTCACCGCCACAACGACGATGCTAGAGGGAAGGGCCCAGTTCGGTGTTGTCGTCGTCATATAGTCGTTCAAATCGTTCGAACGTTTGCTTGCTCCTCTACTCATTGGATAGGTCATGTTGTAACGAAGTTGTAAACACAGAGCGGAACGCGTGTTGCTTTGGTATGAATTCGGACTTCTTTGACTCAGTGACCGACTGATCGACCATATGGTGCTGCGCGCGATTGAGGTATGAGCAAATGATGTGGAACTGTTATTAATTTCTTCTGTTTTAGGCTGAAAGTAAATGGGGGGTGCGCGTATCAAATGACGAAGCGGAATATAAGCGGTTACTAGGTGATCGGGCGCCACTTTTGAAGACTGCTGTTTGCTTGTTTGTTTATCAAGGAGAGAAGCCGTGAAGTTGGGTTCTAAAGTTGTAATGATTAATTACGTGTGTCGCTTCAAAAGGAGATTTACGTAATTTGGAAGTTGTACAGTAGTGTGACATTAAGACAGTAATTGAAGGTCGGTGTTATAATATTGATGTTTAGTAAACCGACGTCCTAATGGTTAGGCAAAAATATTATATCTCTGACACTCCGAAATCATAATTTGTATCTTGACAACTTCACTGTTTCATAATTCAGCATAGGCGCATTTCTACAAATGTATTAGATTCAGGGTACAATTAGTACTATCTTTCAAGTGTTTTCCTAGCTTCCAATCTTTTTTGTCCTTCGACCTTTTGGCCATCAATTCAATCATTTGTCTTTCGATATTTTATCCTTCGACCTTTTATTTAGCTTTGTCCCGTTTCAGTGCATTTTTGTTATTGACCATTTGGCTCAATTACACTAGGCTAAACGCCATAAAAGACCGTACTCTATTTGGCCAAATGGGTTATTATGCCGAAAATGGAATGACAATTTTGGTGTGAAAAATGGTGACCATCAATTACAAGAAAGCAGACAATGTTGTTACAGGTTCCAGACTCAGCTTAGACTGGCTGCACGAATCAATGGTTGCTACTGTGTGATTGATCAGAATCAGTGAAATTGCTCTATGAATCAACTGTACAAGTTGCAGGGGCTCCATAAAGATCAATTACGGCATTTGCAATCAAGTGAGAGTGACCTTTGTTGTCTTGAGAGAGTTTACTTCTGCCTCCCAAGAGTGGGATATTTTGTTAGTAGGTAGGGCTCGTTGGATAAGTGATATTATCAATACCTAATAAGCAAACGATGCGACCCTAGCAACTCAGTAGCGTAAAGGGGCGTGGGATAAAACCCACGATATTCTGCTCAGCAAGCAAAAACGGTCGCCACTAGGCCGCCGTGCTCCTAACATCACAGCAAGAATAACAACCATAATGAATGTCAATCGTTCAATCCCGGTGACATGAAGGTGTTCAAATAGAATAGCAGGACTCAACCATTTCGATGATCCCTTCTTCTTGTTTAAAAAATAAAAACTGAAAGGAGCCTGGAATCAGTTAGCAAAAACGGTTGCTACTAGGACACCTAGCTCTTCATATAACAACAAACCATTACGAACAACGATATTCAAATGGAATCTATTTTTTAAACACTCCAAACATGATGCCACCGGTAACATGTGCAACGGAAAACTTGCAATGTTTGAAAAATAATAGCTCAGCCATTTATTGACTAATTTTAAATCTATTAACACCACTTGCAACTACATACTTTAAAGATTTATTCGGTATCAAAGGTTTAAAATCTATCGATAAATTGCTGAGAAATGAATTTTCAAACATTGCCAATTTTCCGTTACACATTTTACCGGAGGCATCGTGTTCGGAGTGTGCATCATGTGGTCGTGATTAGACACAGACGAGGAAGCAACTCTTTGAATCGAAGAGCCTGGGATTTAACTCATGTATATTTGCTAAGGAAGCAAAACTATTGCCATTAGGCCACAGAACCCCTCATATCATTACATAAAAACCACCACGACCGCTACGAATACTTAATCGTGAGTTAATGTCACCTTATCTGGTGAATTATTAAGAAAACGACAGCAACGAAAACATTCATAGAAGTAGAATGAATTACTCCCATTGCGGCACAAATATCGCTTTGGAGCAGTTTTAATAGAACTCTATTGCGTTTTAAAATTATTTTTTTTATCACAATTCACCAGTCGCGGTGGTCCGGCCATTCCTTCGCACCACCATCGTCGACACACCGTCTTAGTCAAGAAAGCCACCCAATAAATCACACCTCATCGTATAGGCCCACAAACCTTTTCACAAATGCTATAAACTTATTTTCGCTACTTGGCGTTAATTTACTCTATTAATTTATTTGTGAAATCCAATGTAATTTTTGCGATTTACGAGAAAGCCTCGGCGTGTACAGGGCTGTTTTCTAATTTAAATACATTTACCGCTACTGTCATGTTTTCAGAAACACTATTTTTCGCGAAGTTAACGTAACTAAAGTCATTTTTTGTGATTTTGAGTAAATTTCACAGTTTTTATTTGAGAGCTTTGGATGTCTGTACAATTTTTGCATTAGAATAATTATGTGGCAAGTCCAATCATACCATAGAGGTAACTCTAAGACCAGAAGGTCCCGAAGAAACGTGCTTAACTTTTTGGCTCAGCTCTGGTACTATCTTCGGTCCCAAGCTAATCGATGCACCCCTCGAATCATAGGAAAATCCACGAACCCCTCATTTTATCTGTCAAACTTTCATAGCGAATCAAAAGAACCATACTGTAGTACTATATTTTCGCCTAGAATGGGGTACGTTAATCTATTTGTTTGGGACCAATAGGCTAGTCAAGTAGTGAGCCAATTTCAAATCGATAGTTTCGTATTGATTGTTGATCATACTATATGCCCAGGAAAGTTGAGAAATTTTCCAGCCCGAAAAATGCCTAGACCGGACCGGGAATCGAACCCAGCCACCTCCAGCATGGTCTTGATTTGTAGCTGCGTCTTTACCGACTGAGCTAAGAAAGGCCTCGCAGGTTATACGTATCGCTTGGAAAACTGACTTTCAATCCGAGGCCCGGAATGCCAAGTATCATATACCATTCGACTCAGCTCGACGAGATTGGAAAATGAATGTGTTTGTACGAATGTGTGCGTGGGTCTATGTGTGTAACAACATATTGTGACACGTGTTTCTTGAACGCAATAATTACCAAATGAAAAGTGTCATGGTTCCATAGAGGTTTGCAATTGGTCATCTGGTTCCGGAGATGTGGTTGGAACGAGGTCCGAAAAACACGGATTTTGGATGGTGGACACAACAACCACCAAATGAAAGGTACTATGGTAATGTATTAAGGGCGGCGGTGTAGTGGTAAACGTGATTACCTCTCACCCCAGCAGGCCTGGGCTCAATCCCAGTCGGCGTCGCCGGGATTTTCTGAGGCATAACATCTCTGCTCTAAAGCCGTTGGTCCCCGATTCATGAGTTGATGGGTCGATAGGTATGGTCCTGATATGGGAGCTGCCTCCCTGGCGTCGGTAGCATTGGTGCTCAGCACGGAAAACAAATCAAGGAAAAAAATTGTAACATTTTTGGAATCGGTCAACTGGTTTCGGAGATATGGCCAGATGAGAGTTAATCTGACTAGAAACGAATAAAACCCATCATGTGACACCTCAAATCAAATTAGAATTGAAAAAACTAGTTTAATAAAAGTCGTTTTAGGTACTCAGGACTATACTGGGTGCATCCGATAATGTTCGGGGTACCCCCGGAGAAGTGGTCAGTTTCTGACAAGGGTCAAAATCCAACATGCGATACCTCAAATCACATGAGAATTCAAAACTCAGTTTAATGGAAGTAAATTAGACAAACTTGACACAGTCTTGTCTAATAGTAGCTCGGCATTGTCACCTCCTTGAGACACAGCGAACGATCCTATAAATGGTTATTGTTATTAATATTTTGAACTTCGAGTTCCCCCGAAATCAATCCATTAGAGCCACTTTTCGTTAATTGTATGGTTTTGCAGCAGCCACTCAGCCCAAATTCGATGGAGGTGCGAAATGGTCCGCAAACAACAACTCTCTGCATGAATCATGTTGCTCCAAGTTGCTGCTAACAATCGGTTTATTGAATGCTACCCAACTTGTCAAGGTTCGTCTCCAACGGCCAGTTGCGGTTGTAAAATCGTATTTTTTTTCAAAGCAATCGATATAAAATATCATTTCCATTTTCGGGAATGAAGGAACCTGCTGCCAATGGGGAGGCTTCCCACCTCCACAAACTTTGTGCTGTCGTTGTTTTGCAATGAGCGCGCTAGTAATGTTTATGTATTTATTCGAGTTGAGAGGAAAAACGATCAAATGGTCGGTTTGTCGGTCTCCATCTCTATAGCGGCGACCGGACAGAAACGTGACAGATTATTTGTTTTGAATCAGATGGCGACGTTGAAACGTGCGTCTCCATAGAAGAATGCAAAGTATGTTTCATCAAATGCCCACTTTCAACATACCATCGCTAGGGTGGAATTTGGGTATTTTAAGGCGAAGAAGCATGCTTCGCTTTTGTAGGGGGGAACATGATGTACAAGTACTTTTGAATGAGTATAATACACATTAGGCGACGAACGACGAATTACGTCATTTTTCTATACAATGTTCTCTACCGACACCGGTCGATGTGCTTCGCATCTTCTCGGTGTATCGTGCAATTAGCCTAACTATCAGCTGGCAGATCACGCTTTTTTGTGTCACCTTCCGGGCACGCGATCGCGTGTATATAGTTCATTGTGCAGCATCATAGAATTTTTTTTAAAGCATTCCACACATCGGGGAAAATGCAATTAATCCACGTACAGTTCTTACTACTACTTCTAAAATCGTTGGAATACAATACCTTGGCACGTTTCGAGTCCTGCGATCCCATGCGCAAATACCCAATCTCCGTCGTTTTGACGTCCCTATTCTGTCGAATCCTGTTGTCCGCTTGGGCTTGCTCCTCGGCCCGCGTCAAAGTGGTGATCTTCCGAACAATATGAGTCGTCATCCGCCGATGACCATCAGATGCTCGCTGGGAAGTGCTCGTCGTTTCCATCGTGTTCCCCAGGACCTCCGTCGTAAAGCGCTTGTTTCGCGTAACCTCGGCCACGACCTGGCTCCCGCCGGGATGTGCCACCACCAACTCGTTTCCATAGCTCATGGACGACGGCAGAGCCCGCCAGTGATCCCGGTTCATGGTTTCGATCACTCCTGGATGCTCGGTTACGGTCGCTTCGATCACCTTTTCGTTCATTATCTCATGCCGAAAGCGCAGATTGCTGTCGTCCAGGTTGGTCGTAATGGCCGGTCCCTTCCGACTGGTGGTGCTGCTCCGCGAACTGGATCTACTGACCAGTGCGCTCGACGGTTGATAGCTGTGTCCATGTTCCCGTTGTGCCTTCATAAACACCCGTCCCCGGGGACGAAACTCATCGTCAATCTTGTACATTGCACCTTCCCGTTCAATCACAAACGCATTCACTTTTCACTGAATACCACTGTCGGCCAATTTCACATTCGTTTCGAATTCCTGCAGTTTTCCTTCAAACACCAAACCAGAACACAAATCGATAATCGTAAACGTCGATGGAAATTGCACTGTCAGTCCAGCTGCTCACATTACCGGGAACTACTGTAAGGCTTCCCACCCGGTTCGGTCGATTAGTATCGGTCAGTGTCGTAGTCAGGCGGTTCAAGATTAGTTGTTCTGCAATTGTTCGTCTAGCTACGACTCTGAATCATAGCGCATTCAACCCAATCTCCACCTATGAACACAGAACTTCCGAAACTGATTCGGTATGGTCACCGGTTGAACGCGCTCACACATATGGTTTTAGCGCAAGGTAGAAATACAAACCACCATCGAATAATTAAGAATGCAAAATTTAACACCCCCACCCACAATCGCGGCAGCTACTATTAATTCGTAAAACGACGGAAGTGAACCGTTAACGGTAGTTTTCCTTATTGCTTTCAGTGCTCGGTCATGCTTCATTCTAATTAGTCAACAACTGAATCCGACAGACCAGAATTGGAAAGTGGTGCTCTTCTCGTGCGAGCAAGATATAAAGCAAATATCTTATCTAAAGTGAAAGATCTTGGCCGGTACACGCACCCGCCCGATTCGTGTGTTATGCTTTGATTGACACCACTCTGATGGCGGGGTGGAGATATGAAAACGTCCGAATGGTAGGAGAGACGATTCACTTGTTGATTTATGGCATTTTGGTAGGTATGGCGTAACAAAGTGCGAATTGCTTCACGGATCGGGAGCGCCCGGCGGTGACCTTGATACAAATCGGAATCAGAAAGAAATCACAAATCACAAACAACAAGTTGTAAATTGTGATGTGGTCGGTGGAAAAAATAGAGCAAAATAAATTGTGACCTTGCAAACGAAAACTTAGCTATGGTATGGATTTATGAGTTCCGGATTATTTTACCGGTTTGAGGCCATTTCGCCGAAAGTTGATTGACAAGTTAATCCCAAAATCTTATTTATAAACTATCATTCACAATCTAAATTTTTGACAAGTTTCAAGTCACCAAAAGAAGTAGAATTGGAAAGAACTGCTTATCTGAAATAAATCTCCTACGGATTTCGACTATTTTTTCTTGCTACGGTGTCACTATATCAACGGAAATACCCTAAGCTACAATATGGAACCAATGTTTCTAATTTGGAAAAAGCGCATCGGGTAAATTTAATCTTTATATTATACTATCAAAGTTACCCGCATTATCAAAGATACCCCGTTTTACGGTACCAAATAGTAAGCCAATGACATAACTTAAAAGAACATCTTTTTGGAAATTTTACGATGCAAAGTATCAGAATTATGAAAAGTTAAGGATCTTACAAATTCATCTGAATCCCAGATCGTTAAATTACACTAAACTTGGGAACTGGAATCTGAAATTTTTCTAAAAAACGAGGGTTGGAATATTCGGGAATTTAATATTGTTCGAAAAATGATTAATTTTTCTAAACAAGAATAAAACTTTGTGAGCGTAAAAGCATATCCTATACTACATTTCGAAAGGGGCATAACATTATTAATATTTATTTAACAAAAAAAAAAGACAAAATTTTGGTCGAATGAATTGCAGAAAAATTATCTGATCGTTTCAAACTCGGAATGTACAAGAAAATATTTAAATTTTTTGTAACGATTATTCATTAAATATAGTAAGGGTCCGATTTTGACCGCATACAATTTATTACTTTTTAGCTTTCCACAATTTTTTATGTGTCAACCTGATTAGCTGATTCCGTCTAAAGCATCACGATTATCCAGAAAGTCAAACTAAAAGAGCACAAGCAAATCAGAGACATTGGAAACGTGATTTCAAAATGAAACCCACACTGTAGTGGGCGGTTAAAAAAAAAAGCAGTTCCACGCCAAATGACGAATCGGAAAAGCTCAGCCTTTATCGATTTGCATGAAACTTTGCTTAATTGTTTGGTACAGATTCACATTTTTGCTAAAATTCGGCTATTTTGAAACTTGAAAAAATTTCAAAATGGCATCTGAATTTATAAAAAAAAAATGTGCGCGGAAGCGACATTTCTGAAAGACTATTTTTTTTTAGTAATTTAAAGTAAAAACAATAAATAATAAAAAAATTGAAGATCTCAAAATGCCTCTCGAAAAATTAACTTTTGGAATGTTATAGACTCTTAAAAATTGACAAAAATCGTAGAACAAGAACTTTGGTCAAATTTTGATGTTTGTTCAAACGTTTCTTTAATGTAATTTATACACATAAAACAACCTTTAAGACATTTCAAATATTTTTTGTTAAAAACACCCAATTAAGCTTACTAGCAAAAAGTTCAAAAATTTAACCAAAAGATCTTGCTATGATTTTTGTCTGTTTTAAGTGTTAATAGTTTTGAACATTTCAAAGAATGCATTCTTCGTTAGCGTTAAAAAAAATTAAAAAAGAATGGTCAAAACACTTTGACTTTATATTTGGGTTAAAATTTCTTTTTAAAAAATTTCTGGGCGAAAAACATTTTTTGAGAAAGACATTATTTCTCTCTACAACTTTGTCTCAGACGTAACTCCGATTAGGAATGCCGTTTCCGTACTTATTTTTTTTTTTTGAAAAATTTGGACGCCATTTAAAAAAAATTACAATATCTAAAATGCGGCCAATTTTAGCAAAACTGTGAACATAACAAACAATTATGCAAAGTTTCATACTAATCGGAGAAGGCCGATCCAAACATATTTTCTTCGATATTTTGCCTGGAACTGCATTATTTCAATTTTTCTATAAATCGTAGCACGAGAACGTCACTTCTAATCAAAATGACGATCGAGACAAAGCAATAGGAACAAATTAATTGTTTCTAAGAAAAAATATAAACGGTAGTTTCCTTTTTGAAGATTTAAAAACTTAAATAACAACAAGTGTTCAGTATTTCCGATTTTTTAAAGTTTTTTTTTGTCCCTGCAACTTTGTGTCAAACGTCATTTCGATTAGAAGTGACGATTTTTTCGTGCTACGTTTTTTTAGAAATGTTGAATATGCCATTTTCAAAAAATACAAGACTCAAAATGATCGAATTTATCCTTTGCGTGCCTAACGTATAAATTTGCATAGATTTCAAAATTCTCACTCAAATTATGTAATTGGACCAAAAAGCGACTAAACAGATGGTCCATGAGCACATTGGGCATCCCAGAAAAGTTAAAAGTGCCCCCAGGGAAGTGACCAATTCTCGACAAGAATCAAAACCCGTCGTGCGACACATCAAACTCCATGATTTTACAAAAAATGACCGGTAATGGCCTTATTGACAGTCCACGATCACACTAGTCCTCCCGTCCATGTCCTAGTGCCCTTGGGGAACTGACCAATCCTCGAAAAGAGCCAAAACCCGTCGTGCAACATATCAATCATCATGATTTTACAAAATATGACTGGTAATGGCCTTATTGATATCTCGCACGACGAGTTATAATTTTTGATGAGAATTTTTCACTTTACCGAGGGCGCCGGAACTTTTTTGGGATGGCCAATGTGACCATGGTCTCTCAATAAGGCCCTTACCGGTCGAGTTTTGAAAAACTGTGAAGTTTGATGTGTCGCACAATCGATTTTGGTTTTTGTCGAAAATTGGCCAGTTCCCCGAGGGCACTGGAACATGCCCGGGAGGGCTAGTGTGACCGTGGATTGTCGATAAGGCCATCACCGGCCAAGTTTTGTAAAATCATGAAGTTTGATGGGTCGCACGACGGGTTTTGGTTCTTGTTGAAAATTGGCCACTTTCTCGGGGGATCCGGATTTTTTCCGGGATGCCTAATGTGATCATGAACCATCGGTATAGCTGCCATTGGTTCAATAACATAATTTCAGTGAGAAAATATTATGTTCACCATGTGTATAATTAGTACAGAACAGTAAAACCGAATGCCATCCCAGAGTGACCCCAACGGAATAACTCCGGAGCCATGAACTGATCCAAATTTGTCTGACCGGTTCAAAAACTTAAATAGATGCCCGACAAAATCCAACATGTTGTGCAGAAAAATATTGATAAATTTAGTTGTTAGAGCTAATGGAATTTTGAAATCAATGAAAATTTAGACGCAAAGGTTAAGCACAAATGTGAACGATTTCCCAGAACAAACAATTATGCAAAGTTTAATGCAAATTGGCGAAGGTCGAGTAAAAAGTTCATTTTATTTTTTGCTCTTTAGCCTGGAGCTGCTCAGAAGCTGCTGTCGTTTATGGGGGTAAACTTTAATTCAGAATCAACCCGCAAGAGAAGGTTAAGTAAGTAACGTGCCTCAGATAGCTTCAGAGAACTTGAATCAACCACTCCATTCTAGCAGTTAAAGTAACGTTTACTACCGCTCGAACTTTGAAATAAAACATTATTTTGAGATTTTTTCTTCTAGAAACACGAGAAAAGTAGCCAACATTTGTGCGGTTTCATAAAAAAATAGAAATTAGTTGGTCCAGTTTTGTGACATCGCTGGTAGAAAGTCACGCCAAAACTGCTTGACAAAGTGGTCAATTGGTTCAACCGGTTAACATCAGGAACCCAGTGAGTTCAGTTAAGATTGCTTCAAAAACCATATACACACTTAGTTTTTTTTAGCAATAGTGTCTCTTTCCGTTTTGGAGATATTAGCATTAGCATTAGCATTAGCATCGAACAAGTTGCACAATATCGTAGGTGGTACGAATTCAAAACTATTAAGAGCAAGACGGATTTCTGTAACTGGACAGATAGTAAGTAGGAAATAAATACTATCTCCCAGATAAAGAAACATCCCGCTCCAACAGTTAAGGATTGTCCTGGCCACGTCCTTACAACTGGTAGGGATAGGAAAGGTATGTTAGTCCAACATTTACTTAAGAGAGATGCAGAGAACTCTACGACGCCTCATAAATGTCTCGGGAATTTAGGAATTATGTTAATAGGGAAGGTAAGCCATAGGATACACCCAGTCAGTGTTGCTGGCATATGTAGATTTTTTTTTATAAATTTGAAATTGCTGTCTGCTGGAATAAAATGAAGATATAACATGGTGAACTCACCATCGTTGTTACATTCAGTGTCTCTTTCCGTTTTGGAGATATGACCAAAAACTAACAACCAGTTGTAGTGAACATTATCGAATAAATAAAAAAAAAAATCTCGAAATAATTAAATTGCATAACAATGTTGTACGCAACTCGTTGCAAAATTTGAATTTGTAATTATCCAACTCGGCAATCCTCGTTGGATACATGTACAACTCGTGCTGAAAAATTCTTCGTTTTGCAATATGTTGGATAAACAACTATATTGGCTTGCAAACACAAGATTCTGAAACCAATAATATGTATGGTAATGAATAATGTCAAGCAGTTTTGGTGTGACCTTCTACCAGTGATTTCACAAAACTGAATCAACAAATTACAATTTTTATATGTATATGTATTTTTGTACTAAAACATAAACTTAACCCTACACCTTTTTTAGTTTCGGAGTAGTAAAGTTAAAAGAAGATCTGATAACTAGTATGAACCATTAAAAATGAACTATTGTTGAGTACATCTCTATTTATTGCTTTTAACAAGCAACTTACTTATGAAATCTATAAATTATTGGTGTACTAAAACTTCAATCTTCCCAAACAGATGCTGTAAAACTAGATCAAGCTCATCAGCGGGGTGTTCTTGATCACAGGCTAAAGCTTCCTTAACATTCAGCTGAAGATATTTGAGAGCAGTTTGTCAAATTCATGTTGGAACAGTTGGGAATCGATGGTTCAAAACTGGACGATTTGAATAAAAAACAATAGAGCCGAACTCGAAAGTCTAAATAACATTCTGGAATGTCTTCATCCAAAAGTCCAACACAGCTTTTTCGTAGTTTGAGTAGATTTTCCATTGCCTTTACAAATTTAAATCAAGTAAGATCTGCCTTGCAAGTTTCATTACTTATATTTTTAGTACAAACATATTAAAAACATCAATTTGTGTTAAATATTGAAATTGTGCATTTCTAGCAAAATACAATTTCCAGTTGTTTGTATTAATTGATTATGATCAGAAACACCCCGTGTTGTTTATCAGCATTAAAAAATGATGATACAAAATTTCGACATTCTACTACTAAAATTAGATCCTATATTTAACTTTAACGTTTAGATATCGACCTATTCCTCTACCAGATGGTTTCCTCTCCTCAACGCTTCAAAATAAAGCATCACAGTCGGCCAATCAAGCAGCAACTTATCACGTCTACCAGCTCTATTTGTTTGACTAATTTTCACTCCTCGCAGCAAATTTTTCCTCCACATTGCGTCATACTGAGACACGAAATTGATACCATTCTTCAACACCTGACACTTTCAAACTCATTAGATGATGTCAAACATCGGACGGCACAAAGAAAAAAAAATACTATATCAATTTACAAGAGCGATGTAAACAAACGGCGCACAAAACCGAAACGACGGAGAAAGACTCAAATCAAATCAAATCACACCCCGACCGATGACAACCTCGGTACCGATTGATAAGGAGGTATCTTTTAGCAGACACAAATGTTGATACATTGTTCAGCACAAGCCCGTTGTTTCAAGTGGTAATCTCACCAAGAGAGGCAGATTCCCACACTTTATTTGTTTACCTGCCTGTTGGTTGCGCGTGTAATTTGAAGCAGATTTTAAACCCTCTCAGTCCTCCGACCCATTGGATTAGAGTCGATTTTCATTTCAAATAAAAATTTGTGCTTGATTCGATTTTCAATTTTTTGGACATTTTTTTACGACTGGCAAAAAGTTGGTCGTAGAAAGTGACCACCATATTTTTTTTTGCCATCGGTTTTTGCCTCCATTCAGACTGATTAAAATAATTTCGAGGTTTACAACAGCTGCCGCGCAGAAATTCAGCAGACCCAATTCCCATCGTGGCCTACGCTCTCCAAATTGTGACACTCTCGAGCTGGTAAGTGGCTACAAACAAACAGGTACAATCTAAACGCGGTGTACGGGTAGGTGTTTCACGGTGAAGATTGCACCCACACGACCACCGAAGCCGAAGCAGCAAGATCTCAATTCCAAAACATTATTCAAATCGAACGCGTTTCGATTCGGTCATGTCGGTTTTCAGTATAGACAGGAATGTGTCGGGCTTGTCTACCATTCCGGGCATTGACAACGACGACCGGAACTTGAAACCCCTTTGGACGACAGCTGCGCCGCCGCTGTGCGTTAATGACAGGAAAGGAATGTCAATCGGCTCTCCAGTGTCTAAAAAGGGATTTTTAAAAAGAACTTAATTCAATTAGCACACTGTTCAATGTCGTGCTGAGAGGCGACCGACCGTGTCCCATTCCAGGCATGTAGGCGGAATGATCTTGAATAACTCGGTGAAGGAGGATGCGTAGGAGAGCGAAACATGAGTCTCTACTGAAAAGGTTCGGAATTCCATATTTGATACAGTTCGGAATGTTCGACGATGATTGATTTGAACTGGTGAAATTTAATGACATCATTCCGAAAAATTCTAATTATAGGTTTTCGCGTAAGTCTTCGTCGTCTTATCGAGTCGGTGTTCAAAGCTCATTAATTCTTAAATCCGATGAAAGGTAGATAAACACGGTTTGAGCACTATTTTTAGTACAGTGCAATGTGAGCAGCTCCACCCGGTGCAATTTCCACGGCTTTCACAGAACACTATTTTCATTCAACAAAAATGTGTCAAGGTTAGTCCACTTTATTCCACTTTTTCTCTGCTTGCGCAGCCCTTTATCGATAAATTCATTTAAATCGACCATCGACTGCACCTTTTTCCCGAGTCGAAATCAATTAAAACTTCCTGCACGCCGCGACACGCGTGACACCCGTGAAATTCGATTCCAATTCGTTGTACTAAAATCTCTTCCCCGACCTTCGTGTATGTAGAATAAAAGCGCAAACACTCCCGGGCACTTCGATTGGACCCACAATATGATCAGTTCTAGAACAAGTAACTACTTCGAAACTTCGACAACCGTTCGTCGCGTTTGTTTGAGGTAAACTGAATGTGACGAGTTGGAAACAATTTCACTATAGGTGTACCTTGCGCGCGACGGTGTCCAAGTTCTCTCAGTCTCTCGCAGGAGAGCGAGCTCGCGCGGGCTCTCCCACCCGCACGCAGTGGATCAGAAGACAGGTCTCTTGACAACCCGCGCGAGTCAGCCCCGCCACCGCTCTTTCAGCTCGAATAATAACAACAATTATTGCGGAGGTTTCCCCCTAGGCACAAGGGCTTCATCAACACGGCGCTAAAGTTCCTCACGCTGCTGAGATGATGACGGCGAGATTCTTCTCTTTTAGTACACGAGCCTGTTTTGGTGCGGCGGGCGCTTGTACCTGCTTCACGAGAGAGAGAATAAGAGATGCCGCAAGGTTGATTGGTTCCATAAAACACCGAGCGCAGCCTCGCGGAGTTGAAGATCTTAAGGCGAGATGAGGTGCCAAAGGTTTCCTAAAAAGGCTCGACCACGGATCTGACTGTTGCGACGGTGCTGACGACTAGCATCACGTCACTATTTTGTTGTGGTGATTTTGTGAGCTTTGTGCGGGCGTTGTTTCAAATCCGATAGGTATTTTACATAATGTTCACCGCTTCAGGACGGAAATAAATTAGAGCGGAACTTGGCAATCGCGCGTGCGTGGGGCTCCCAACAAGATCAAGGTGTCGGACAAGCCCAGCATCGAGTGGGAGTTTCGATATTGATGTTTAACCCACTCGAGATCTACAGTGATATTGAGAATTTATTTAGAATCAACCACATACAACGTATGATCCCAGGTTTAGTACATATGGCAGTGAACCGTATCGTACTCCGCGGCTGTCGTGCTTGGGCGACCACCAGAACGGAGACCATTTTTCCACATTAATTTATTATACAATTGCTTCAAACTATCTGACAGGGCGGTATCAAATTTTAGTACACTCATTCTGCGGTACTGCTCACCAGGTCACCCCCATAAACACCTCCACAACCTAACCATCCAGCGCAACAAAACCACCTCGCCACCATACCGTGGATGACCCCTTCAATGTGAACTCTATACGAAGAGAAAAAGAGCCAGAAAAAAACAAAACAATACCCCCGTACGGCTCGACGGGAAGCCCGTCAACGGATAGGGTGGTAGTGCTCGCTGCAGCCAGTATGAGTCGTTTATTGTCTGGAATTATTTTATTTTTTCGCCACCGTGACTACTGGCCGTGTCATATGGGAAATACTCGTCCGCCCGGTGGTGCCTTATGTGTCATTCGCAGCATATGTACGAATATTTTGGAGCGAATAACGGTTAAATCGACTTTTGATATATGTGGAAGCCACCGGCAGCTTGGATGGCTACCGACCGTGAAAAGTTTTGCTAATGGCTGCTAGAATGCCGAGCAGCTGGTGGATTTTGTACTAAAATTCTTTACTGGTACTAATGCAACTGCGAAATTTCACTATCACAGCTGAACCAACAACGTCGGCAATGGAATTTGGATTCAATTAACATTTCTAATTTGACAATTCTGAACCGATGCTAGGTGGTAATCGTGGGAGAGGCGCTCGAATAATACTGACCACAATAAAGTTATAACGTCGTCGTTGTCGGGAGACCGCAGAGAGAAAGGGAAAGGATGTAAACAAAAGATTTCAACGGGTGAATAGGGTGGGAAGCTGATCAGTCCGACTGACTAATTTAGTGCACCGTGGCTGGCCTGGTTTTGGTGCAAGTTGACGAGCGGCCTTTTCATTGTTTTGTGCTTTACAAGATTTAGGTTCATTAGGCCCGAGCTGTTGTATTTATAGCGGATTTTAGGTGTTAAATTGTTGGAGAAATAGAGATTAGATGCGCTCCATCAACGTCTCCGAATGGTTTAGTGTCAGCATTAACATGTTCAGTGATGTTCCGTATGAGAATGGAAATATATGAACTTTGCAATCCCAGCTATTATGTAATGGCTTATTATATAAATTATACTGAAAGTGAATACAATTATGCGCATAGCTTTAAAAGGGTGGCTACAGGATATATGAATTCAAACTCCCGACTGTTTTCCGGCTACCCACCATTGTTTTTAGGATTAATATAAATAAAGCATGGCCCATTTAGAAATGGAACAACGAAAATTGCGTGTATTTATGGTTTTAATATTTTTTTAGACTACCACTCATGCAACAAGGCTTCTGTACATAGCAATGGGCAAACCAATCAGGACGACTTGATCAAGTCCCACTGACAAATCATATTCAACTTGGCGCTGTATGAAGGACCAAAAACGGAAGGGTGGACCCGTAAGGAGAAACGCCCATGCGAAACCCACCGGGAACAGAAGAAGAATCGTCTTCTAGTAAACAATATAATTCGCTATGGAACAAGCCCTCGTCCTGAAGGATGCCCCATGAGTGTGGAGAAGAACCCGCCCTTTATCCACGAAATGTTAGCAGTTTCTTAAGCTATTTTGATAGGCAGTTGGCAACCCCACTCTCCCTATCGATATCGGGTGCCCTGTTGGACCCCCTTTCCGTTGTATATGTATTTAAATGTATATTTATATTTTATATATAATGATTCATCACTTATGCGAATCGATTGAATTCTGCCAAAAATAAATGAGGCTAAGTTGATTCTTAACGTAGAAGCGTAGATGCATAGGTGAAGGATAAGAAAAGGGAGAGTCAAAGGTGTTAACATGCAGAATTAGAAGTTGTCGGAATTATTTTTTCGAGCACCAAACTGAAAATAAACTCGATACTTTTTTCAAAATGATGTATCTCGAATTCTAGTTATCCGGTTTATAATACAGGGGAAGTGTGCCAGTTATAGCACAAGTGCTCCCCTTGTAATACAGCGTCATTTGTCAACGTAGGCATGTAGAACCGCATTGAGACTAACATCATGTGAAATAAATTTTGAGTTCAATCATAATTTTCAGGTATCTCATGTAAAATCTTTAAAATTGCTCCATGCTCAAGATTTTATGTGTGGAATCTTTTAAATATTTCAAAGCCCGTGATTTTGCTTATTTTTAAATCCAGGATCTTGATTTGAAAGTTTGTTTTAATCTGGGCCACGATTGTTTTTCCATACTGCAAGATCTTAATCATGTCTAAGATCCGATAAATTTCTAATGACCCGCAAATTTGTTTTTTTTTTTCTAAGGTTTCAAACAAAACTAAACTCAAAATTTAAATAAATTACATGAGTACGAAATCGTGCAAATCTTTCTGTTATGTATAGTTCCGGAATTCGTAATATGTATAGTTCCGGAATTCGTCGAAACTCAAATGATCCAGAATCATGATTTTAAGCCTAGGATTCTAAACGGAAATTTTACTTAGTACGAAATTTTGAAACTGAAACACGTTCCAGATCCATGAAGAAATGGACCATGTCTTGGATCTTTAAAGAATGTTTCTAGCCCAATAACTTTGCCCTGGAGTTGAATAGTTTAAGCCTGTCTTCTAAAATAAATCATTGATTAATTTTCTACATGATTGGTGATATCATTATAGTTTATAATGCAGTTATGATTAAGGATTGAGAAATATTTACCTGAATTTAAAGAACATTTCTTGAGATTCCATGATTTTCCAGATTTTTATAGGTAGTCGATACCCAGTTTTTACAAAGAAATTTGCTATAACTGTTTTTGAAATTGATAACAACAATCCAAATAAGCTCACAGCTTGCAATGGAATGCCAAACTTTAATAAAAAAATTGTCACAATGTTGAAATTGGTCGAAATTTTTGAAGAAATCAATATTAAAAAATGCACTAAAACTTTAGAAGAAAATTATCTTATTTTGAAATGAACACTTATTTTAAACATAATTTTCGCGTCACTTTTGAAATAAACCAATGTAACATAGCCACCATGTTGAGAAAATCGAAGTTGAAGTTCGACAGATTATGATTTTAACTGTTTAGAAGCAATACATTTTGCAATACTATTTTTAATTTAGTCAGTGAATAATAACGTTGAAAATTCAGTAGAAACGGTAAAATCACAATTTTACTTTGAATTTCATGCTACAATATAGAAAAAACCACATAGGTCAAGATGTACATCGGACATGTTACATTGCTAGATTTTTCTCAATGACATAATCAATGAGTGTTACATTGGACGTTTTGTTCTACATGATAATAGATCCCCTTTCACAGATTTCAGAGTTTCGGTTGGCCCCGCCTTTAGAAAATGAGCACCAATCATTTTAGGCAGTCCAAATGACCGAAGTAACAATCATGTACCCATCATTTCAAACTGTTCATTGGACAATTGTTGTCCTATGATAATCTTAAATAAATGACAGTAAATTTGGATGGATGTTTTTGTATCACATACTTTGATAGAAGAGTACTAGTTTGTATCGTTTAACTCGATTTGTTTACATTTGTTACTTAGGACCTTTTGAAAAGTGACGCGAGCATTGGTCCCAACAGATAATTTTATATTTTTGAAAACCCAACCGAATCAATGAAATTAATTAAATTAGTCTATGAAGGCAGAGTGGTGTTGAGTACTTGGAACTCATGAGGTCTACAAATAGTAGGCGAAATACGCGTATTTGTAAAAATATAAGCAATTATATAACGGAATTAATGGGAAACAAATCCGAAAGGGATTCCGTTAAGAAGTTCGACAACATTAAAAGATAAAATTAGTCTGTTATTTTAAGAAACATTAATATTCTATATTTTCGTCTCACTTGCTTATTGCACCAAAAGGAACTGGGATATAATTGTTATGTGCCTAATTCACCGGATTAATTTCGGAAAATACGTTCATTTATTTTGAAAACAAGGCTGGTAGTGGGTATGTGATATAATAGTAGCGACTTTAGCGTCTAGAATAAAAAAAATAGTGACCAAATAGTGACTTTAAAGCAATAAAAAAGTGACCAATAGTGACATTCATTGATCGGAAAAGTAAGGTTTCAATCTTTGGTTGATTGCAACCCACTTCGATAAATTTTATAAACTCATCACAGGGCAATAATTTCAT